GTCCGGGCAGCGCCACGGCGGGGTTTGAGGGGCAGCGCCCCCGAAGCAAAATGCTAAAATGCATTCAAAGTTGCCTGTCCGATCGTGCTATATTTTTTTTCAGTTTTTCAGTTTTGGCCTTCCGCTCGAGCGGGAAAAGGGCGCTCGAGCGGGTTTACGAGCTCACAGTATCTCTGCAATGCCTGAAAAAATACTGGATGGTGTGATTCGCCGCTCGAGCGGCAAAACCGACGCTCGAGCGTGGAGCCTTTATGAAATCACAGAATTTGAAGTCTCCGCTCGAGCGGGGAAAAGGGCGCTCGAGCGGACCGCGCGAATCCAGATTGCCAGATTTGATAAAGAGTTCGTTTTCTGCCCAATCTAGGATTACTTTTTGTTCCCTATAAAAACTTGGTTTTCTCCAAAACTAGGTGATTGATTTGAACTTCTCCAGATCTTATTTTTGGATCTTAAGGTTTAATATCTGGAGAGATTTTGCTAGTTTTCTTTGTGTTTTTCTGAGTATTCAACTCATGGCTTAAATGGATTATTCGTATAATGTCGGTGAAAACATTAGCAACGTTAGAATTATTCATCCAACATCAAACATTAGCAACGTCAGGATTATTCATCAAACATCAACCATTAAACATTAGGATTATTTATCAAACATCAAACATTATTCATCAAACATCAAACACAACCATTAAACATTAGAATTATTCATCAAACATCAAACGACCCCCGCGAGCTGACCGGGCAGCTCGATCCCCGTCATAATCAGCGAAGTGGCAATCTTGAAAGCTTTATCATCACAAACTTCTCTGAAATGCTTGATTCGGGTTGGATTCGCATCTAAACACTCAAAGTCTCACTGAAATAAAAATGCGAATAAAATTACAACTCAAAGGAGTTTTGTCAAACGGGATTGCCAAGAATAAAACCTAACACATTCTTTGTCAAAGGACCTAACATTTATTTGAACAACGTAACTTGGCAAGAAAAAACTCTCATTCCTTCTACCGTAGACAATGAAAGTTTTGGAGCAATTGTGGGAGCCAGAAAAAAATATACATCAGCTTATTGGGGTTAACCTAAACAAGGCCTACAATGGATCCAGCCCAAACTAATATCACACCCCCCATCTATATAAAAAGGGGGCATCCCAGAAGATGAGATATGCCTTATCTCTCTCTACCATATATCACACAAAACACTTCTTTCTTTAGAGATGTCTTCTCTGATTTCAGTGATTAATTTCATCATCGGAGTGTCTTCGGCCGGTAATCTCGACTGGGTGGCGCCGACTACATTCATCTTTGTAGATATACAGGGGCAAAACTCCTCTCTTCATTAGATCTCTACAATCCATGTGAGCGGATTTTCATGGTCTCACACTAATTTTGATTAATCAGAAAAGATTTGTAGAAATGTGGGGAACATTTTTGTTGTTTATTTACTTAGATTGCTTTAAATCAATGTATTTATTACCGAAAGCTCTTATGTGCCTTTTTATTTGGTTGTAGATCTCCCGTACCAATTTGCTGTCCCGACTTCCTGTCTCATGCGTCTCCGCTCGCCACGTGGCCTAATATTCAAACAAAACTTAACTCTGTCAAGTTAACAGAAACTCTTTTATATATTTTATAATTAAAATAAAATAAAAATCTAAAGAACTCTAGTGGGCCTATTCATTTACCTACCTTCTCTTCTGTACCTTTTAGATTTCCAAGAACAACACTCCATATGTTCAACAATATAGTGAGAGAAAGTAGTAAGAGAAACAGAGAAAAAGTTAACACAAGTTGCAAAGGTGAACTAGGGGCTTTGTGTTGGGTTTGTGACGCAAGTTGCGAGCGATTCTGCAAGCATGGATTTCTTTATGCTTCTTCCTCAAGTTCTGCCCAATTTCTCAACAAATTGACATAACAATGCACATTAAGGGGTTATTTGGAATGATTTAAATAAGTGTACTTTTTGACTTTTTATGAAATATGAGTTGGATTTGGGTTGAATTTAAAGTGATGTGTTAGAGAAGTGATGTGATTTAAATAAGATGATGTGATTTAAATATAATAGTGACTTTTTAACTTTTTTAAAACTTACCAAACCACTTTATGCTTTTTTAAAGATGATGTACACACTTTATGTTTTTTTAAAAATATATATGATACACTCTTTTTAAATAAATTTCTCAACAAATTGACATAACAGTGCACATTATAATTTTTTTTTTTAAAATTAATTAGTCAAAGCCCATATATATATATATATATATGATATGAAGGTTAAAAGTAGGGATAGATTTAAGCAGGAACTACACGTGCCCCCAACCTTCTGTTTTTTGTTATTTTTTATTTATATTCAAGATTAGTCCCAGAAGCCCATGTGCCCCGACCCCACCATCTAACTTTCCATTATAATATAGTATTTAATAAGTTTTTAAAGATTTTCCTGCGTAGAATTGATGAATTTTGTTAACGTATTTGTTTGTGGTTAATATAGTGGGCTTATTTATTTAATTTTTTATAATAAGTAAAAGGTTGTGTCTTAAGTTTTCTTATTTATTTTTTATTTTATCATGGAAAGGTTATGGACATTGAAGATAATTATTCAGGAGATGACTTACAATCTCGGCGCAGGTTGGAGTTTGAAAATGATATTCCAATGGGGGATGAAGGTGATCAATTGAATTACAAAACTCAGTAGTTACAATGAATGGTATAGATTTAGTTCATTCTGAAATTTCAAAAAATGTAATTCCAGAAGTTGGCATGGTGTTTGAGACAGAAGAAGTGGCATATCAGTTTTATAATACGTATGCATACAAAGTTGGATTAAGTGTGCGTAGAAGCAAAGAACATAAAGATAGGATCAGTAAGATACTAGACAGGATCTTTTATTGCTCTTGTGAAAGTAAACGAGAAAAGGATAAATGGGGTGTTAATGTACAATGTTATTGTCCTGAAACAAGATTTGATTGTTTGGCAAAGATGAAAGTGAAGTATTGTCATGTGATTGAAAAATACCGTGTTGCTGAGTTTGTTGCTGAGCATAATCATAACACATGTACTCCAAGAAAGACTCATTTATGTAGGTCTCATAGGAATATTACTCTTGCTCAAGCAGCTGAAGCAGATATGGCACACTATTCAGGTATAGTTCCAAAAACAACAGTTGAGTTTATGGCTAAACAGGTTGGAGGACGAAAGAATCTTCGGTTTATTCCTCAAGAATATAAAAATTATTTGCGTTCCAAGAGAACTGTACAAATGAAGATGGGTGATACAGGTGGTGTATTGGAGTATATGCAAAAAATGCAATTAGAAGATCCTAATTTTTATTATACCATACAAGTGAATGAAGATGATTTGATTACTAATATCTTTTGGGTAGATGCAAAGATGATGGCTGATTATGCTCATTTTGTAGATGTAATATGTTTGATACGACGTATGGGAAAAACAAAGAAGGTTGACCTTTTACAATGTTTGTTGGGGTGAACCATCATAAGAAAACCACTATTTTTGGCGCTGCATTGTTAAATGACGAGAGAACTAATTCTTTTATGTGGTTAGTTGATACTTTTGCTAAGGCTATGTTTGGAAAAACACCAAGAATTATCCTTATAGATCAAGATCCAGCAATGGCAAAAGCATTAGTTGCTTAGTGGCTAGACACGTTTCACCGTTTATGTATTTGGCATATCTATCAAAATGCAGCTATGAAATTTAGTGGTGTATTTGCAAGGTTCAAAGAATTTACAAAAGATTTTATTGACTGCATATACAACGCTATGAGGAAGAAGATGATTTGTTGAACCTTGAAGATAATGATTGGTTGAAGTGAATGTATAATATGAAGGAGAAATGGGCTTTAGTTTATGGCAGACAAACTTTTTGTGCAGACATGACCACCACCCAGCACAGAGAGAGCATGAGTAGTGTTGTAAAAAAATGTTAACTACAAGCATGATTTGTTGTTTTTTTTCCAACACTTCCAAAGGTTAATTGATGGTCGCCGTTATGAAGAGCTCAAAGCTGATTTCAGAGCAAGTCAAAGTACCCCAAGTTAAACATTTCCGGTAGAAATTTTAAAGCATGCAGCAAGTATATGCTCACCGGAGGTCTTCGAATTATTTCAAGCTGAGTTGTGCAAGGCTTATGATTGTAATATGCATCTATGTGGTGAGGATGGAAAAGTGACTGAATATAAGATCATTCCTTACCATAAGCATCACGATCATACTGTTACACAAGACTCATCAAAAGGTACAGTGGTGTGTAGCTGTACAAAATTTGAGTTCATGGGAATTTTATGTTCACATGCACTTAAAGTTTTTTCTTCAAAAAATGCTACTAAGATACCTGACCAGTACATTTTAAAGAGGTGGACAAAGGATGCAAAATCAGGGAGTATAGAAGTGACTTGTATAAGCTATGAAGATCCAAAGGCAATGATTGGAAGACAATACAAACAGTTGTGTCACTTGTGTACTCAATTGGCAACTAGAACTGCTGAAACAAAAAAAACTTATAAAATTGCTTTAGATGGCCTTAACAAGATATTGGAAGAGATGAATGCGAGTTTAAGAGGAGTTGTAATTGAGACAATTAGGACTTCACATGCCAACAATAATTTGTTCAAGCTAAATAAAACCATATGTGTTGATGGCATTGATGTAAGAGTTAGAGGTATTAAAGTTAAAAGAGAGAACTAATAGCAAGTCTAGCAAAAGGCCAAAATGTGCTCTTGAAAGGGCTACTAAGAACAAAAAATCTCAGGGAAGTCCATTCTCAAATGATGATAAACCAATGTATGATCATGTTAAACAAAGTGAATTTTCTCCATCAGCGCACTTCACACATGTATCATTATTGTTATATAAAATCATTTGTCTTCCTTTTAGTCATACGTACTATAAAATCATTTGTCTTCCTATTTTACAAGTGATGTAATTGATATGTTCTCTCTCTCTCTCTCTCTCTCTCTCTCTCTCTCTCTCTCTCGTTTATTCTTTTAATTGTAGTTGAATATGTATATTCTCTTCCTGGTTACATAACAGTGAATTTGTCCATTCTCCTCCTAATTGCATTTAAGTGAATATGCACATAATTGTTGCCCCAACGGTATTCTCTTCCTGTTGATTTGGTGTTTATATATATTTTTCCTATGCTTTCTTCTTCTGTCTTTAGGTGATTAAGATTTTTAGTTTTTATTTTAATGGTTGGGTTTCCATAATGCAGGGATTTATCTGATAATTTACTGTATGAAGATATACCATTCTCAATATCCAAGCTTAAGCAGCTTGAGTTATTGTAAGTTAATACCTGAAGTGAAGTACTATTAATTAAATATGCTGGATTGTTTAAGATAGATAAGTTTTTAGTTCTGCCAACCAAGGGCTTGAATAAGCTCTGTAAATGCAGGAATTTGAAGAACAATCAATTGACTGGTCCTATCCCTTCAACATTAACACAGATTCCCAACCTCAAAACTCTGTGAGTCATAATTTTTTTATTTTTTTATTTTTTAGTGGAGTCCATGCAGTTAACATTACCATATGCTTTTTTGATTTTATTTACACCAAAGCCATAGACACTTGTGCTAATATATATGTATGCCTTGTCTTTGTGTAAATTTATTCTGTAGGGACCTTGCTCGTAACCAGCTTATTGGTGAGATACCGAGGTTAATCTATTGGAATGAAGTATTACAATATCTGTAAGTACTACATCAATTACGGTTTAACAACTGATAGATAAAATCCAATTTCAGGATACTATAATTACGAAGGCTCCAAAGAAACCCTCGTTGGTGTTGAGAATGATTGTCTTGACATTTGCAATGCTATGTGGTCTTTATATCTGCTCAATCTGTCTAAAGCAAATCAGTACCCGCACAAATTTTGGATTGCTAAATGTTCAAGTGATCCAAAGACCGTGTGAGCCACCTATTATAGAAACATGGGAAAAACTTTATGTGCATTATCCGCAACCCAAAACTTTTAGCAGGTAAGGCATTAATTATTGTCATTCTGAGTCTATATTTCATATCAATGTACTGATATATGGTGATGTGAATAATTAGGGATGAGTGTAAATGCAACCCGGTGAGATATTTTGCCATAATCTCTACTCAGAGATCCGGGAGTGGATGGTTTGAGACATTATTAAATAGTCATATAAACATAAGCTCCAATGGAGAGATTTTCTCTGTAAAAGTCCGGAGGAGTAATATCTCAACAATAGTCGAAACTTTGGATAAAATCTACAATCTTGACTGGTTGACCAGTGCTTCCAAGAATGAGTGCACCGCTGCAGTTGGCTTGAAATGGATGCTTAATCAGGTGAGTGATGCCTTGGTGGAATTATTCAACTTTTTCCTGTCTTACAAATTAGTTTATCAATTTTTCCATATGAGATAACTTGCCATCAATTTAGTAGTTATTATAGGTATGTCTACCATAGCTGAAGTGTGTAAGTCTCAATAATCAGATCTCTCCTCATTCTTGGGTTGCTTAAGAGTTGATACAAACTCTGAACATGATGATTGTTTGATTTTATAGTTTTGTCAACTGTTCCACGCTACACTGACAAAAGCACCCTAGATTAATTATCATATAAATATTTTTATATATGTCAAACTAGGCTTAGATTGGAAGATTGAATTATCTTGACAAGCAATTAAGCTTTTCAGGTGTGAGTTTGTTAGGCAACCTGCTGTAATCTTCTAATTATTGCATAGAACAATTACATAATGTTGAGTATAATCACAGATATTCCACACACTATTGGTAAATAGGGTGTTTCTTTATGAGAACAAACAAATATAATCCTCATGCACTCTTATACATGAATAGAGGGTTGTGACAATAATGGAGGTTAATATTTCCTCCAAGATGAATGACTAGGACAAATAGGAGAAAGACAGGAGTTGCACCACTCTAAACGTAATGACCAAAGAGATTGAGGTGGTGTTATAGATCCATCGAATAAAATCCTAATTAATTCAATGCGCATCTATTGACATGGGAGGTTTCAAATTATTAATATTACTTATTTCTTTGTTTTAAATAAAAGAGCTACAGAGTGTAGGAGGAAGAAAAGTAATGGGGAAAAGGACTTCCTCTGGATGAACAAACAGAGGCACTTCTCAAATGTTCTAATTACAAAGTAAATTTTACCTGATGTACTAAAATAAAGTAATTGCATGTGTCTTGACCGAGAATTAGCCCCCAAATTTTCCAATCTTGGTTCCAATAAACATACAATCTAATTTTTCTGGCAAAGTCAAAATTTCTGTAATTCTGCTCGATAACGTATGTTCTAAATCATTCTGTGGACTTATTCTTCTAAAACTGTATTTTCTAAACTTATTAAAACATCGCTGTCAACAATCTCTCCCCAGAATTGTTTGTGCAACTTATAGCGAGAGTTAGTTCAATGCCTTGACTTTAGGATTGGTTGACGGAGTCTATACATTGCATCCAAATTGAAAAAGCTAAGCTCAATTTAGCTAAAACACCCCCCATATACTTGTCCCATTTCAGATGTGTTGATTTTATGCTGCAATCAGACTTGGAGTTGATAAACCTTCTTGTGGATCAAGTTATTACTACTCAATTGTGAGGTCCATGGTCTTCTTTTAAATGTGCTGAATATAGTATGAGTTTCAAACTTTCATAATTTCTTTTTGGCAAATGATTAAACTGTTATTTTGCAACAGATTAAACAGAAGATTGATAACATTGTAATTTTCATTTTGCAGAATTTTACCTGTTAAAAAAACATGTTTTCCGCTAAATTTTCCATCTTTCTGACACGGACAACCTTGAAATTATGCAGTTTGACCACACTCATTACTTACTGATGTTATTAATAATGTGTATGAACTTATAATTCAGTTTTGTAATGTTAATTTCCTCTGTTGCATGCATGTTGAATTGATGTAACCACAGTACGGTCAAAATGCTAAGCCACTGAACGGAACACATAAATCTCATGTGCATTCATCCCATGAGGTCTCTCTCTCTCACAAGTCATTCTCTCTCCCCCTCTCTCTCCCTCTCCTTCTCTCTGTGTCATGAATAAGTGATACTGTTTCAGGCAGAAATACTTGCAAGTTATAAACCTACAATCGATACAACACTGCTGATCCCCAATCTGAGGCAAGTAGAGGGAATGACTGCCAAAGCTTTAGAATACTTCAAGAGCACCCAACACATTATCCTATACTACGAGGACATAATAAAAAATTCCACCGTAAGACATTTCATCGTCTTATAAAACAGTTGATCCTAAAAAGATGCCAATTTTTATTTTTATTTTTCTTTTTGTTTCCATACAAAAGTACTGTTTTCCATGTATTTTGCAGAAATTGAAGGATGTCCAAGATTTTCTGAGGGTTCCACAGAGGGATCTGAAGAGTCAGCAAGTGAAGATACACAAAGGTTCATTGTCCCAACACGTTGAGAACTGGGATGATATCCAGAGAGCACTCTACGGAACGCCATATGAAAGCTTCCTCCATTCAGATTATAACATGTAAAACTTGCGTGCGCCCAGAGACACCAGAGACACCTGGTAGATTTAGTATGGATGTGGATAATGATCCATTTTTTCATTTTTTGAAAGCAAATTATTTTACAAAAGCTTTTGTAATACAAGTTGGTCTAGTTGATAAGAACAAGGCTATGTGTGACTTTTGGCTGGTGTTGATTTTTGCTGCCATAGGACTGCTGATTTTTTGGTTGAGAATTATGAATTTAATTTTTGAATATGTTATTTTGTGGGTAATGATGATTGGATATTAAATTGAATAGGAAAGTGAATTAATGCTGCATTTATAATTTGAATGGGAGTTATTATTTCCTATTACGGCTATTCAATTTTATTATAGGTATTTTTTAGTTTAATCACATAAAATTAGCATAATTTTTTTTAAAAAAAAAGAGGATTTCACGGCATTTTTAAAACGCCACCAAAACTCCAAAAGGTCAACGGTCAATTTTTTTTAAAAAGATATGACGGCGTTTTGAAAACGTCGCTAAAATCATAGTGACGTCATGGTAGGGACATTTCACGGCGTTTCTAAAAACGCCGCCTATTATAATATCGCGACGTTTTTAAAACGTCGTAAAGATACAGCGACGGCCGCAGCTTCGACGTTTGGTACTAAACGTCGCAAAAGGAATTAGCGGCGTTTTTGAAAGATATAGCGGCGTTTCTTAAACGCCACTAAAAGTCTGTTTTCCAGCAGTGAAGAGATGAATGTGAGTTTAAGAGGAGTTGTAATTGAGACAATTGGGACTTCACATGCCAACAATAATTTGTTCAAGCAAAACGAAACCATATGCGTTGATGGCATTGATGTAAGAGTTAGAGGTATTAAAGTTAAAGAGAGAACTAATAGCAAGTCTAGCAAAAGGCCAAAAGTGCTCTTGAAAGGGCTACTAAGAAGAAAAAATCTCATGGAAGTCCATTCTCAAATGATGTTAACCCAATGTATGATCCTGTTGAACAAAGTGAATTTTCTCCATCAGCGCATTTCACACAGGTATCCTTATTGTTATATAAAATCATTTGTCTTCCTTTTATTTTAATATAGTCATAGGTACTATAAAATAATTTGTCTTCCTATTTTACAAGTGATGTAATTGATATATATGATTCAATTCAAAAAATCAATAGTAACTCAATGCTCACTCAAGTATAGATGTTCCTACTGTGCACACATTATTTCATCAATCGTCACAACTAACACAAACATTTCAATAACCTAGTTTGAGAAGACTAAATAAGTGCACTTTTTGACTTTTTATGAAATATGGGTTGAGTTTGGGTTGGGTTTGAAGTGATGTGTTAGAGAGGTGATGTGACTTAAATAAGATGATGTGACTTAAATAAGATAGTGACTTTTTGTCTTTTTAGTCTCTCATAAGTTCTCATTATTAAACTTGTATTTTTTTATTATTTATTTTGTGTTTTGTTTTGTTTTTTATTAGCAGGATAACTTATATGTTTCATTTGTGCAATTTTTAAATAAAATATGTACTAAAAAAATAATCTTAGTACTTACAGTCTATTCAAAAATGAACGAAAGCCTACTAAAATGACTGATTTACTACAAGTAACTTGGTATTTCTTACATGATTTACATTGATTTTTTTTTTCTTTCTTTTTTTTCCAATTTAAAAAGAAAACGCCACAGAAATAACATAATTTTTCCTGTTTACAGGCACAACTACCAACACAAGGATATGATGCATTTTATTTCAATAGCTTTCATGACAAAGGCCAACGAAAGGAGGACCAACATTGAAGTTTAAGATGACAATCATGATGGAATGCCTGCAAAGATAGCTTTATTTAGCAATAATCAAAAGTTGGTTTTTATGTGGGGATGCTAAAGTTTCAAACAGTTTTACAAATTTCCTTTTGAATTACGCATGTGACTGAATTTTTATGTAAAGATTGACAACATTTGTTTTTATTATTTTTCTAGTTATTGAATTTGTGGCAAGACAATTGATTAGTAACACTTTGTTTTTGAAAGAGTTGAAGCAATATAAAATTATCTATAGTTTTTATTTAATTTCTCATTGAAAGCTATTATCTTATTTGTGATTCTTGATCACTCACACAAATCATGTTGTAAAAGCTCCTCTGTTGAACCCAATTTGAGCTAAGTTTTGATTTTTTTAAACAAATTATGACTCTGGTCACAAGCTAACAATATGATTACTTGAGGATGTATTTTGACAAAATGCAACCACCTAGACATATAGTCAAACAAAAATATTTTATTATGTTTGGTTCATTGGAATAAAATTTTTACTTTTGATTTACTATGAAAATTATAGAAAATACATTGAAACTAGTTTTAAGGAAATGAGTATTTCATAAGGCCATCTCCAACCTTTCACAATTTATTTATTTATTTTTATTTTTATTTTCATAAAAAACTTAATTTGGTATAAGCAATTCAATTTTTTTTTTATATATCAAATTTTCATCAAAATCTTTTTTAGAAATTCCATCTTATCTCAAATTTCTCTTTTCTTCAAATTTGACCCCAAAAAAAACATCTATAATGTCTGAGATAAAATTCAAATTTGATAAGTTATCAATTTGATTAAAAAAAAAAAAATTACTCTCCTTCAAATTGAAAGAATTTGAGATAATTTTTTGAACATCTTTAAATTAAATTAAAATGTAATAATAGAAATGTGAAGGATTAGAGATGCTTAGACTAAAAGTATGATCACCCATTACAATTCACATAATTCTAATTAACCAAATAGATTACAAATAATATTGGTTGTCACAGGTATATGGGTATTTTGATCATAAAAGATAAGGCTGGGGTTTTTCATTATCAAAACAAATAAAAAAAATTATAATAAAATATCAAGCAACACAATATGAGAAATCAATTGCTTATTTTTTGAGACCATGATTGAACAGGGTTTGGAATAGATGAAATTCTAAAATTGCAAACAAAACAGATCGCATAAGAAATTTCAAGAAACTAAATGTATCAAACATATACTGTGGCTCAAAACATGATATTTCGAATTCCATGCTTGTGGGACTTGACAATTTGTTTTGAAATTGGGCAGAACTTGAGGAAGAAGCATAAAGAAATCCATGCTTCCGAAATCGTTCGCGGCTTGCGTTACAAACCCAATACAAAGCCGCTAGTTCACCTCTGCAACTTACGTTAACTTTTTTCTGTTTCTCTTACCACTCTCTCTCTCTCTCTAATAGTCCTGGTTGGTAGAGTTTATTTTTAACTTATTTTAATTTTTAGTTTAATTTAAGTTATTTTGATGTGTTTAGTTCAGCTTAACAATACAACTTATAGCTTTTTATAAGTCAAAAATTAACTTATTCTTTGAGTGGAGGAGGAGAAACTTAATTTATAAGTAAAAAATCAATTTATGTTCACAATTATAAATAATAAACTGTTAAGTTATAAGTTATAATCATTTTTATACAACTCTACTAAATGGGTGGATTGTCAAATATGTGGAGTGTTGTTCTTGGAAATCTAAAAGGTGAGGGTAGGTAAATGAGTAGGCCCACTAGGGTTCTTTAAATTTTTATTTTAATTTAATTATAAAATATATAAAAGAGTTTCTGTTAACTTGACAGAGTTAAGTTTTGTTTGAATATTAGACCACGTGGCAAGCGGAGATGCATGGAACAGAAAGCCGGGACAGTTTTGAGAGAGTTTTCATTACATTTTGTACACTTAAAAGTTTTCTTATGATAAATATTCATTATCTGATAGATCTCAATAAAAAAATCAAATGAGATCTTGACAAATCGTATAATAATTGAAATATATTGATAAAAAAGTGTTAAATCTAATCCGAGCACAAACAAGAATGAGAAAGATCCTAACAAAAATGAGAGAAGACAACAAAGGGAAGATCTCAATATATGATTGACCAGTTTTAGGGAAAAAAATATTTGAGCTGTACAGGAAAGATCTAAGCTTTTGGGTTCTGGCATTTTGATATTATCTGGGTTTTTAGTATTGAATTTTTTTTATTATGTCTTACAGTTTTATGACAGTATGGTTTGAATTTTTTGTTTTTACATTGCCGTTTAATGTAATTTCGACAAGTGTAATTGTAGAATTATATGTAGATATGTACGATCATAAAAGTGAATCTCATTAATTTTTTAAAACTGGTGTAAGTCAATCCTGAGTCCATTGAAGTTAGGCTTCTATTGGGACTAGGTTTATGTTGGCTATAAAAGAGAGGCAACCCCATGGGTCTAAGGTATGCTTTTTAGGCTCAAGCTTGTGAGTTGAATAATTGATTATCTTTGAGAGATATACTGACTTGATCGTCGGAGTTGCCCCGGGTGGACGAACCACCGCGGGATTCTTATATTTCTGTTGCAGGTCAATCAGGAGCCATCTATTCTGCCAGTGCTCTCCAGCTGAATTACTGAGTTGGCAGTGTGGTCGAAACATTTCCCACACAATTTGGCGCCGTCTGTGGGAAAGAAAGAAGAATGGATAGCCAATAAAAGAAGGAAGAATAGATGGCCAATGACGGACAGAAGGATCAGACTGGAGACAATGTTCCTGCTGGGAATGGGAGATCTATCAACCTCGACGTTGAAGGGGACAACCGTAACACAGAAACTCGTGACCAGAGTCACGGAGTGAAAGACGCTGGCCAGGAAGGTGACGCACCAAAGACAACAGATCGAAGCGGATACTACAACGAAGATGACCTCCAGGTATAGAAGGATAGATACTTGCGGAGGAACGAAGACCCTTTTAGAAGGGATGCAAAGACAGGGGGCATGAGCGCTCCCAAGGAGATAACATTCCAGTATAGAAGAACTCATCTTGAGTGAGCAGATCCTGGATTCCAGATCCTGGATCTCGGATCCGAGAAGACATGATCTCAGCCTAGACAAGTAGGCCCGAGAAGACGAGAGCTTAACCTAAGTGAGCAGATCCCAGATTCCAGATCCCGGATCCTAGAAGACATGATCTCGGCCTAGATGAGTAGGTCCGAGAAGAGAAGAGTTCAACCTGAGTGAGCAGATCCAAGATTCTAGCAGACAAGATCTCGGTACTTAAGTCCGAAAAGAGAAGAGCTCAGTGAGCAAATCTCAGATCCCAGAAGATAAAAAAGAAAACACACAAGGTTGGATTGCAGTTAGACAGGTTGAAGACCTTTTATAAGGTACGCAAAGGAGTATGTGGAAGCCATGCAGGGGGCAGAGAGAAGAAGAATATGTTTACCACTTGTTGAAATTTGTAGCAATTTACAAGTTGGTTAAACCAAGATGATGTTTATCACTTGTTGAAATTTGTAG